TATAACTATTAATTTAATTTTTATAAAATTTAGAATATATATTTATCAAATATAAGATAATCTGCTTATATAATTTGAAGTTTTAATATATAAATTAATAGTGATAATATTTAAAATATCTTTTTTTTTAAAAAATATTTAATTTTAGTTTTTTTTAGTAAAATAATACTTTTTATATTATTTTAATTATTTTATTATATTTTAATTTAATAATAAGTAAAGTTATTTAGATTATTTTTTATTTAATATAAAAAAATTATAAAGATTATTTAAAATTCAAATGATTTTTATTAGAAATAATTATTAATTTTTATATTAAGATATAAATCTTTTTATATTGATCTATAATTACTAATTTAATTTTTATAAAATTTAAAATATATATTTATTAAATTTAAGACTATTTACTTATATAATTTAAAGTTTTAATATTATAATTTAGTAATAATAATATTAAAAATATCTTTTTTTTAATAAAAATAAGTTTACTTTAGTTTTTAGAAAGTATTTTTTATTTATTATTAAATTAAAGTATAATAAAATAATATAAAAAGTTAATATAGATTATTTTTTATTTAATATAAAAAAATTATAAAATTAGCTAAAATTTAAATAATTTTATTAGAAATAATTATTAATTTTTATATTAAGATATAAATCTTTTTATATTTAATTATAATATATTTTTATTATTAATTTATATAAAATTATCTATTTATTATTATAAATAAAATAATATATAAATTAAAGAAGTTTAATTTATAAATAAAATTTAAATAATCAAATTAATTAAATTATAATATTTATAATAAAAATTAATTATCTAAATTATAAGTAAAAAATTATATATTATTCTGCAATATATAAAAATTAATTATTATATATAGTTTTTGATTATTATATTATGTGATTAATTATAAATAAATTAATAAACTAATTAAAAAATTTATTATTTTAAACTTATAATAATAATTATTTTTTAGTATTAAATTAAAATTAATAAATCTAATTATATAAAAATTATATATTATTACAAATAGATTTTATATAAGTAATTTAATAAATTTTTGAATTTATAACTATAAATAAAAAAGAGAATAATTAGATTAATTATATTTATTAATCTAAACTTTATATTAATATTTATTTAATATATATTCAAAAAAAAATAATTATTCCTATTATATTAATTATAATCAGTACTTTTTCTGAATAAAAATTTTAAACTCTTAATTAATTAATTAATAATATATTTTATCTTTTTTGAACTAAAAAATTAAATCAATCAGCTATTTTTTTTAATATAAAAAATCTAATTAATTTATTATTTTTTCTAATAGAAAAAATCTAAATAATATAACTAATAAATATAATTATAATTATAATTTTTTTTAAAAGATTTTATAAGTAAAAAAAAAAACAGCTCATCATTCATCAAATGGTTAATTTTCTTGTAAATCCTAATTATCTTCAATTTTGTGTTGTATACTAATATAGAAAATCTGTTTTTATTATTACATAATTATGATATATATATATTTAATATTTTCATTTTATATATTCTACGTGTATATGCAAACAAATATTTTTTCTAATAGAAAAAATCTAGATAATATAGCTAACAAATATAATTATAATTATAATTTTTTTAAAAGATTTTACAAGTATTTTTACTTGAAATAATAATTGAATATAAATTTATTTCTTCTTTTCTTAAAATTCCAAGAATTATTTCTTATATATATTCTTTTAGCTTTTTTTATTAATTAAAATATTATTTTAAATTTATCTATAATATACAATATAATTCTTATTATATTAAGGGTGAAGAAAGATAAATATTATAATAAAGTAACAAAATATAATAAAGAAAAGATTATGCTGAAAGTTATTTACTATTTTACAGATGAACCATGCTAAAAATATATTATAATACTGGAAATATATACTAAAAATGCTAAAAAAATCATGCTGAAAAATATATGCTAAAAAATATGGAAAATAGAAAGTGCAATACAATCTATTATGCTGACAAATATGTACTGAAAATAGAAAGCATGACATGATTTATTATGCTAATAAATATGTATTGAAAAATGCTAAAAATAAGAAACTGAAAAATATATAATTTTTATAAAATACAAGTACAGTCAGATGATTCTCTCATAATTTCAGAAACTAGAGATTTTAATGAAATTATGATAACAGTATGTAAAAAAGTCAAGGAATTATATTTTTAATAAGTAATTAATATAATACTTTAATATTTTTTTAGACCTATTCTAGAGTTTATATAAAAGGATTTTGCTTCTTTATATATGTACATAATAATGAATTTTAAGCATAAAAGAAAAAATTTTGAGTGAAAAAATAGATTACAAAAATTCACAAAAAAATACCTCATATTTATATGAAAATTTCAGATATAAAATGTGTGAAATTAAATTGCTATATACTGTAAGAATAAATAGTGATAAATGAAAATACTAAATGTACTAAATTTAATTCTCGAATTGACATTTACTAAGTTTAGATACCTCTCATTTTAAATATATATGTAATGTAGTTTGATTTTTAACAAAAGAACTTGCTCAATAAACATTTCAAAACACTTAAATTTAATTGGTTTTTCTCTATAGAATTTATTATATTTCTCTATATTTCAATCTCATAATAGATTATGTCTTATTATAAAATTATTTTTTTTATTATTGCATTTTGAAAATCCAAATCTTGAAAATAAACCATTCTTTATTTTCTATCGATTGCTATTTCCTAAAATATAAACAAAATAGCATACTGTAATTTGTTATAATTTTAGAAAATTGGGTCGATATTTTACTTATGAACAGGTAATCGCTTATAATTTTTCATGCAAATAAACACAATAAAAATGGGATTATTTTCACCTTATATTATAAATATTAGCTGTGATAAAGAAAGTCGTGTGTGCGAATCTTAAAATTAGATTCACAACATAATGCTAATTATTATAAATAAAACGAATATCTATTGTATGGTTCGAAGAATATTGGCAAAGTTAGGAATAAAACAAAATTCCATGTAATCATTTTTATCCAATTCGGTCTCTCTTCCCAAAAATAATAACCACATTCTTCTTTTCCGTATCGAAAATTGTTTTTCCCATCTTGTCTCTTTCTGTACCGATATGTATTAGCATTACCAATTACCGTTACTGTTTCCATGGCTTCCCAAATTAACAAAAATATACCATGGAACACAAAAAATCCCATTTGATGTCCAAAATTGCTCATATTACCAGCAAGTGCGTACACGAAATACTCGTGTATTAATCCACTCAGTGTAAAACAAGAAAGCACCCCAGAAGCTTGAGCAATACTGTTATTTCCACTGAGCTTTATCACAAAATTATATGTTGGTAATAAAGCGAGTTTTTTGAATTGCTCTTGGAATACTTGGTGCCATCGATTTGACCAAAAATCACGTGGTGAGATTGATAATCCCGGATTATTCAAAACTTTTGGAGAATAGAAAATCATGTGGGTGCACCATCCTCGTACGCAAATTTGTTGTTTAGGTGATAGGAAGAAGGGGTTGATTGTCGAAGAATTGTCATTCACAATTATTATATTTGTTTTTTCTTGATCAACCGGAAGTAATGGATAAAGAATTGATGCAATAATAATTATTACAATTTCGTAAATGAAATTGACTGCAGCATAAAGGTATCCAGCAACTAATGCATAACCAAATATCTCATATAACAGTGGAGTTGATGCATAATTCACATTTTGGTTATCTTCGTTATAATAATAATTGTTTGCCAAAATTCTCAAAAGCTCTATAACTCGATTAAAATAAAATCCATCATATACTGCGGGACGCTTATATTCGATACACGTTCTTATTATCGTAAAAAGTAACAATTTTCCGAATAGCACAAATAATCGCTTTTTAATGAATTGTAATAAATACGGTTTTGTTGGGAGTCGTAATTGAGTGGCGCTTTTCAGATTGCGTACATGTGGCGCAATTTCTCCAGAACCAGTTATTGGATGATACCGAGTCTGATTACGAGGTTCCGCTAACACCTGATTTCGAATATCAAAAAGCGTAACAAAAAATGACCAATGCTCTTTTATATTGTGCTTGTCAACTTGTATTGTCACATCTTTAGCCCATATTAACATTCTAAACGTGTAAAGTGTAGTTACGATGCTAGCAAAAGCCTGCACACAAGAAAATTGTCCAACTGAAAGAATAGGAAACACGATAACCAACCAGAACATTGTGGTTGTAATCAAGAAAATTCTAAACCATGTTTTTGGTGGCTGTAACGTCAAAAGAATCGGCAGAATTAAAGATACATAGAATACTAATAAATAAGTCCAGATATTTGGATATTCTATATGGTATTCTGAATTTAAAATAATTGATGAGCCCATATCAAGAATTTATTAAAGATTTTTACAGACATGAACATGTTATAACTAAAGTCACCAATGTGTATTTGTTTGTAACACTATGTGCCTTCGCCACAGCAATGTGTAACAGAAATTTCAAAACAAAAGTTTATTTTTGTTCTAACAAAAAATTGTTTCTTGCGAAATTCCAAGAAACAACCACGCGTAATATAAACCCTAATCCTAACCGAAATGCTATCGCTATTAATATTTCCGTATAAATGCGTTTACGCACTGACAATCAAAAATCTGTCATACTTAAAATTTCGTAGCAAATTACATGTACATGTACATGTATGTTGGGTCGGGATGTTGGAATTTCAGGAATATGAATGTCGGGATGTTGGATGGCACCACTTTTTACTAACGCTAAATAGTTTAAAGGTGTACAAATCAAGCTCATTTGACATTGCCAAAATCAAAATAGATAACCATGTTAATAATAAATATTCATTAATGAGAAACAAACCGGAGAAAGAAAAATATACAGAAATAAACTGGTCGTCTTTAATCCTTTTTGCAATTTACTCTGACAGGTGCGATTAAACTTTTCCGAAATGTGCACGTTGTGCACCCGGCTAAATACTTCCCTTCATCACACTATATCATAAGAATTCCATTATTGACTTTATTTTTTTACACGTATAAAGTTATTTTCATAAGGTTGTGAACTTTTCCAGTTAACAGAAAGAGCAAGAATATAAGGTTCGTGTCAAGTTTTCATTGATAAATTTCCTTTTTAGGATATAATA